AATTACTACCTATAAGTTAAGTTATTAACACGCATCGTTTTATTATTATTGTAATCCCATTTTTTATAGTTCAAATAATCTTCACCCAAATTTTCATTTTAAGCGTGTTAAGCATGAAGGCAGATATTTTAAAATTATTACATGTATTTCCCGACCAGATGCTGCCGCCTTCTTTTTGATTTATCTTTCAGCTTACCAATACCCGGAGGATTCTTATTATCCTTGGTAACCTCCGGCGCGCGACGATCCCATCCAATTTGGTATCGAACCAACATCACGTTGATTCTGGTGGGAGAGTAGTGTAGTGGCATTGGACAATAGCCACACAATCCACAAAGCTGTGAACACGAGACTACTCGGAAAATAGATATTCAATATTTAACGCGGAGAAATACCTAACAATGGAGAAGGCGCGAACAATGAATGGAATGAACTGGAGTTGATCGAGTGGCATGGCTCGGCCATGCAGGCGTGGTCTCTGCTGAATGTTACCTTATATCTTCTATTCATATTAAATATATTGTTCTTTCTCTAGCCTAACCTTGTTCTACATCATGTATTGGTAATTGATACGATACAGTGAGTTGGTGTAGTCGATGGTGTGACTTCCACGTAAGATCTTATAGATTAGGCAGTTATATCATGACAAATCTACAAATTTAGGATTAGGTCTATTATTCGAGCAGTACTAATATCATAGTAGACCATAATTCTACAAGCTTTTGGAAAAGGTTCAGAAAACCGCAAGCAACCTGATTACCGGAATAACAAAGCCTCAGTATGACGTTCGACTGGTTAATCTAAACCTGTTTCCATTATCGTATCGAAGGTCCAGAGGCCACTTGATCGCAGTTTTTAAACTACTAAATGATAAACTTCAGTTTCAGTTTAGGAAGGCTTGATGGCCTGTTTTAGTTCTGGAGATGGTGGTTTCCCAGTTGATTCAACTTTCTTTTGAAAGAGTCGACGGATGGAGCCCCAACCACCTGTTGGGGTAATGAATTCCACTCGTTGGTGATTCTATGGGAATGTTGATATTCAGCTGACGAGTAATTTGTTCTGAGCTCGTAAATCCTCTGTTTTGGAAGACAAGAAAAATGAGGGCATGTCAGGTGCGAATTTATCACTAAGGAATTTGCTAACTGTAATCAAGTTTCCCCTAGTTCTACGATATTACAGCGGGAATAGGTTTAGCTTGGCCAGTCGAGCATCATACAGAGGCTTTGCTATTCCAGGAATCAGCTTAGTTGCTGTTCTCTGAACCTTTTCCAAAAGCTAACCGTTTTTTAAGCAGGGGCTAGCCGCTTGTATGTAGTACCCAATTCTAGGACGTACGAACACTGTACATAAAGTCAGAAACGTTTTAGCCTCGACATGACTAAAAGTCCTACGTATTGACCATGACGTTCCAAAACCTTTGGCGGCTATTGCCCGACAGTGTGCAGTAGTCTTTAATTCTTGGCTAACGATAACTCCCAAGTCATTATATATCTGGACGACAGGTAGCTCAGTGTTATTCATCGTGTATGTATCTGTGCCTTGATGACCGATATGCATCACAACACACTTGGAAGTATTTATCGGCAACTGCCGTGTTTGAGACCATTCAGATAATTTCTTCAGGTCATTTTGAAGTTCTAAGCTATCACCCTTACATCGTATCGTTCTCCATATCTTGACATCGTCAGCATATAGCAAGACCGAAGATGATAGGAGACTAGGAGGGTCATTTACATACAAGAGGAATAGCACTGGCCCCAAAACTGTACCCTGGGGCACTCCACTAAGCACAGTTTCCCAGCTAGATAACTTTGAGTTCACCCTTACTCTTTGTTGACGCCCAACTAAGAAGTCTTTTATCCACGTCAATAAATTGCCTCCAATCCCTACATTTCTTAACTTATATAACAGCCGGTTGTGCGGAACTTTGTCAAAAGCTTTACTGAAATCAATGAAGGCCACGTCTACAGGTAGCTTTTGGTCCTTAAGAGCGCACCAGCTTTCACGAGCCACTAATAAGTTAGTGAGACAAGAATAACCTATTCTGAAGCCGTGCTGCCTCTCCGAGAGGATCCGGTTTTTATCGAGATACTCAAACAGCTCCTTCCGAATAATCTTTTCTAAGATTTTAACAACCACACTAGTAAGACCTCGTCTACCTCACAGCTTGGTCTGCGATAAACCAAACCGATCAGCAGCTCTTGCACCTTGCATTTCAATCGGCAACTAACTAATTCACACGTCCCACTCTCATGGGATACACTGTCGATGATGGCGAATGGATAGCATTATCAATGAATAGAGCTACTCCCCCTCCTTAGCGCTTTTGTATTCTGTCGGCCCTTACTAACGTAAAACCCTCGATGTCAAGTTACATACTATATACAGACTGTGTCAGCCATGTTTCTGCGACTGCGATTATGTCTGGCTTTGTAGAGTCAATCTGTACACCTAGTTCCGATCGCTTATTGAGTAAACTTCGGGCATTAGTGTAACAGATCCGAAGCCTATTTAAGTGGCTTCGGCATCATTCTCTGTCGAAGCCTTACAACCCGAAAATTTGCAATTTTCATGTCCTTATCGCCAGAGTCTCACTTAAGTTGTATTACTTTTTCGGCTTCCTGTCTTTTTACACGTTCTGCCAACGGCACGCCCTTACGGATAAAAACTCCTGAACCCTTTAATTAATGTCCATTTTGTAAAATTAAGTCACGTTCATTCGAAGATTTGAATACTAATTTAAGCAGTCTAGATTGATTAAGACTCAAGTTCGCTAGACTATCTAGTCTGTACACCTTTAGCAAGGTGACTCCGGAGATATTTCGAGACATGAGTTGATTAAGTAGCTATTTTGTCAGCACAATGTCATGCTCAAAAGGAGTTTTTGGTTCAGAGTTTTCACTCTCCTTGATTCTATGAAGAATAACCGATCCGTTACTGTGATCGGCCTTCGATTTCTCTACTACTTTTATGGGGGTAGGATCCCCTTTTATGTCGTTATGATGTTTCTTCCTTACAACCTGTACCCATTCGACAAGGTTGCATGGAGAAGCAACCACAGCCGCGTCAAACGTACTGTGGGATTCCGGAAGGTTGTCGACGATTTGGGAAGTCAGGCCATGTTTCCTGCTAGAAACCGATCGAGCCTTGCGATTGCGGCTTCTAGGTGTTTTCTACTGGATACCACTTCCAAGACGGGGGACAGGAGAAACTTATTTTCTTGAGTTTTTGGATAAGACAGACCTCTTTGAAGACTGTTTTTCCTCCTTTGGTCGGTGTAAGTCAGCTTTTTTCGAATTCACATGAGTTTGCTTCATACCAGTTTGCGTATCGACAGAGAGTAATGTTCGATGTGTCCCGACCACACTTGCTAAAAAACTTTTGGCAGCATTTACCGATGAGATGGCCTCGGTTAGCAAGATGTTTGCATCTGAGCAGCACTGCTGACAAAGCCTTACGCAACTGCTTTGACTGAACCGTTTGAAAGCCACAGGCGTTAAATTCGTGCAAACTTCGTGGTACCAGCCTTTGCACTCATCGCACTGCATGCCGCTTTCAACGGGATAACGAGAGTTCGGACTTTCGCAATTGCGTTTTTGCACTGTCCGGTCATGAAACAGAGGTCTCATTTTTTTAAAGCTAGATGCAATAATACTCAGAAACAAAAAGGATCTGTGGCCGGAAAAAAGTGGAAAACTGTAGATTGTTAGAACCAAAAGTACTAACAGATATGTTGAACTATGGTCTACTATGATATTAGTGCTGCTCGAATAATAGACCTAATCCTAAATTTGTAGATTTGTCATGATATAACTGCCTAATCTATAAGATCTTACGTGGAAGTCACACCATCGACTACACCAACTCACTGTATCGTATCAATTACCAATACATGATGTAGAACAAGGTTAGGCTAGAGAAAGAACAATATATTTAATATGAATAGAAGATATAAGGTAACATTCAGCAGAGACCACGCCTGCATGGCCGAGCCATGCCACTCGACCAACTCCAGTTCATTCCATTCATTGTTCGCGCCTTCTCCATTGTTAGGTATTTCTCCGTGTTAAATATTGAATATCTATTTTCTGAGTAGTCTCGTGTTCACATCTTTGTGGATTGTGTGGCTATTGTCCAATGCCACTACAGATGCAATGGAAAACAAAGTACTCAAAAGTACCGACGACAAACTACTTTAGAAACAGAAACGACACTCTAGTCGAATAATTAAACTGATATAAATTCAATTAAAGTGAAAACAGTAGTCTTGATACGTAATAAACGATCAAAACAATAGAATTTACTTAGCGAGGAAAAATACCACAGTCCTGATATGCCCTCACTTTTCTTATCATCCAAGATAAAGAACTAATGAGGACACTCTAAGGACGTTCACAAGTCCAGGACAAATTGCATGTCAGCTGACAAACAAATTTCCCACCGAATGATCAACAAATGAAATTCTTTACTTTAACATGCGTTTAAAGTTTTCAAAAAACGTTTGATCAACTGAGAGACTACCATTGACAAGACTAACACAAACAACCTGCTGATTCTCTTCAAAAAGGGCCCGGTATTTACCATAACTCCGACGGTGTTGTGGAGTGCTCTAGGAGATGGTGGGGAAGATTTTTAGTTCAGGTGGATAGTTTGGGTAGTTTTGTTCTCTCAGCGGGATGGTTTTGTCATGGAGTTTTCATCGTTCTTCTCAGAGACATCATCAGCACAAGCTTCAAATAGGAATGAATTGTTAGAATCTCTTCACATATGACAATGGACGACGGAAGCTCCACGACCAAACCATCCAGCTCAGAGAACAAACATTCACCAACTACTCTAAAAGTTATTCCTCGCTCACTCATTTTATTTAAGACATCTTTTTACTTTTTTTAAGGTTTATGAAAACCCAAGCAGGGTTTAGAAAAACCTCGATGTAGAGTCTAAAGAACCAGTAATTCCGTTTCTGTTCTGAAATTTTTGACTATTTATTAGTCTTTGCGAAATAATTGGCGCACATTTCGATCTGAACGTAACTTCTGGTTTGTGAATCGAGATAACAGTTTAGTATCATTATTAATACACTCCCTGGTTTACTTTAACGGTTTCATATGTTTATCTAGTTTATGGAAAGACATCATCGACCACTTAACTCTAAATCCGAAAAGTTTCAGCCCGAGCTGCAAGCAAATTTGCTTGATTGGGCCCATGTTAACATGGGCTCAATCAACTAATAAGGGGGAATAATGAGAAAGCGCGCGGAAATGTCTGCGTTTTCACCTGTCCGGGTGAAATAATAACGATTTATTTTCGTATCGCCCTGTGTTTCGTACGTCTCTGATTGTTCACTTTTCAGATTCAGATTTGTGTAGTAAGGACAGAAGGCCTATGACCTATGTTATTCCTTTTCTAGTATGCTTCTGTGAGTGTCCAGTCTTCTCTTGAAAGAGTTAATTGAGGGTGCGGACACCACTGCTTCAGGCAGCAGGTTCCAAGTATTGATGACTCGGTGTGAAAACCTGTATGCCACGGGTATTTTGTTCGTTCTTGGCTTTCCTACTTGCCTGCTATGTCCTATGAGGTGTCCCGATCTAGTGGGAAGAAAGAGAGAGAATAAGTTAGGTCCGAAATCATTTCTCAGTATTCTGTACATCAAAATTAGATCTCCCCTTAGTCTGCGATAGGACAGAGTAAAGAGGTCCAGTTTTTCAAGCCTCTCTTTGTATGTAAACCCCGGAGTTCTGGAATAGCACGAGTAGCTGCCGTCTTTACTTTTTCTAATATGTCTGGGTCACCTTTTAGACAGGGGCTTGCAGCCTGAACGCAGTTCTCAAGCTTAGTTCTCACTAAGGATGTGTATACTGTTAAGTATATAGGCTATAGTTATACGTTAAACTGTTCACTTTTCGACCAAATACACCCCGATTTATATAATTTTGCTTCCATTTTTAAAACTCCTTTTTCATAACCCAGAACGTCTCGTGTTCGCCTTTATTTCCATAACACCACACAAAAACCGCAATCCACGTTAAAAATAGTGTGTAGCTGACTGACTGACTGGACAAAATCTAAGTCGTAGTATTTTAAGTAAAACATTGTTAACGAAAAACTTTTGTGAATAGGTAATCTCTTTGTTACGGATCCACACTTGTTCAGTCTATCATATGTGTCATGTAAGAAATCTTCGGTGCTTACATTCACAATTTTCTCTTAACTCCTCATACATATAGGAATTTATAAGTTCTGATTATTTAATCACTTTAATGTCAAATCCATAAGTACTGCAACTCATCTCATGAAACATGAATGTTTTATTGCCACTTCCCTATACGGTCCTAAATGGTACAAATCTAACTGCTAATTCCTGGTTCTGTTATGGACGTTTGATCACCTCAACGAAGCTCTAGGGTTATCACCAAACGTTGTTGTAACCCTAACCATCTAACAAAAAAAATTGACCGTCCTAAAAACAGATTCTCTTAATTTTCTTCCTTAAATTAATATCCTATGGTTTCTAGTTTTGTTGTTGCTAGTACGACGGACCTTAGTCATATTCCCTGAACTTTTCGTTGTCATAGTTTGAGGATTTTATCACTAGGCAGTTCTGTTACCGTATTTGAGACTTTTTAAAATATTTTTGTTAATTTTCGCAAAACTAGGTGTAAACGTGGATACTGAAAACTTAACATTACTTTGTTTACTTGGTCAATACAATTATTGGGACGATAAGCTCACTTGACAATAGGTAATACTTTTTAAAATGTTTTAAACTTGAGATGCTGCATCTAGTCTGTATGTCAGAAACTTACAAATTAACGATATTTGACTTCTGTCTACATTTTTAAAAATAATTCGCATCTGTGTAACAGATTATCTCTTGTAGTCCCGTTGTTCTCTTGGTTCAAACCTGTGCTAGGGTTTTTACTCCGCAGCTCTTACCATCACCAAAAATCCATAGAACAAGGTAAAGCCCACTTCTCCTAAGACCGAGTTTTTATAGTCCCTATTACTGAAAGGCACTATCACTTGAAATACGGGTTTTATGACAAATACCTGTCAGCTACAACGTAAGACCGGGCGCACATGAATCGTTCCAAGTTGCCACACCTCAGTAGCTCATCAAGATGAACACCAAATTCATAGAAGGAGTTACTTCAATGGTAGTAATATATAAAATATTGTGTATAAGGATATAGTGCAGGAAGAAAGAATTGATTCGTAGAAATAAAGGTATAACGTAACTTTAATTTCACCGTCTAAGGGACGACAAAGAATGTATACACCCACGCCACTGCGATCGATTCTGAACCATACCACATAGTCTCCGACCATTGGTTACGATAGTCACGCGGACTCCAACCAAATAATCTACATCTACCAACATGGATCAGGTCAGAAGTTAGTGACTCCAAGGATTGGTGCCACGTTTTAGTTTGGCTACCCCTTTCTCCCATCCATCTCCAACACTAGTCAGCATTGTACGTCGTGGTAATCTGTGTTCAGGCATACGTAACACGTGGCCCAACCATCTCAGTCGGTGAAGATTTACAACCTCACCAACTGATATACCATCATTCCCTAGTACCGTGCGTCGAACCTCACTATTATTTACCCAGTGATCCCAGCAGATGCGAGCGATATTTCTAGGACATCTGTGGTCGAATACTAGCAGCTTGCGATATCTTCTACTCTTAATGGCCACGTTTCGCAGCCGTAAAGTAGAATAGAACGAACTAATGCGCAGTATGCTCGTCCTTTTGTTGATAGACGGATATCTCGCCTTCGTCATAGGTCACGTAAGTTGGCAAAAGCCAAACGAGCTTTTCAAATCCGTGTGGAGATTTCGCCAGACATAAACCCATTACTGCTCAACAGACTTCCAAGAGAAGTGAAGTTGTCAACGCGTTCGGCTACTTCACTCCCTATCCTTAGTTCAGGTGTTGACGCAGACCAGTCCTGAAGCAACAACTTGCATTTAGAGGGAGAGAGGCGCATTTCAAATATTCTAGCATTGTTGCCCAGTGCTACCAAAAGGCTCTGCATTTTATCAGTGTCTTCACTAAACAGGACTATGTCATCTGCGTATCCTAAGTCAACAAGTGAACCTCCTGGTATGAGATCAATGCCTGAGAATCCAGTCGACGAGGATGTCATTTCCAGCAGTAGGTCTATGATGAAATTAAACAAAACTGGAGATAGTGGATAACCTTTCTGGACACCAATTGAGGTTGCAAAATCAGATGACAGTTCGCCATAAGCTCTCACCCAACTAGTAGTGTTCGAGTGAAGATCCTTCACAAGGTTTATGTGTTTCGAAGGTACGCCTTTCAATGACAGACACTGCCATAAAATCTTGCGGTCTACGGAGTCAAATGCTGCTTTTAAGTCAAGAAAAACTATCCTTGTCGGACACCGATGAACATCCCTGTGTTCTAAAACCTGACGAGTGGTGAATGTGTGGTCGATTTAGACACGACCGTGTCTGAAGCCAGTCTGATTTTCTCGTGTTTGCAGTTCACGAGTCTTAGTTAGGCGTTCGATACTTATCGAGGCTAGTATTTTAGATGTTATGTCAGTAAAACTAATCCCTCTATAGTTGTCACAAGATGACTTTGACCCTTTCATATATATATTGGGACGATAAGTGATTGTGACCAGTCAGATGGGATAACGTCCAACTCCCAGATCTTAGCTAAAATCTTAGTCCACCTAATCGCTAAAATTGGACCACCGTCCTTAAAGACCTCTGGACCCAATCCATCTGGACCAGCTACCATTCCTCGTTTAAGATTGACTGCAGCCTTTTGAACTTCAGCAAGAGTTGGGGGACCTACTTAAATGTCCCATTCACGCTTTCTGCGAATGGTGGTGTTAGCGGGACATAGACTAGATTAAAGCATGCTCAATGCATGATTGCTTTGGTGCACGCTGATTGGCTAATTCTTATCCAATCAGCACTAGCCGATAGTTGGAGAACACTCTGGAATCTTCTTATGTAAAAACTATAAATATACTGACGTTTTCCCTATTGTGCTTCTGACTTGCTATTTGGAATATAATCTCTTTCCTGTTCAACCGTGTTCTGATTTGGGGTCTTGTCGAGTGAATCGGTGTCCAAGGATACTAAGCAATAGGAATAGCTGGGTCATAACCGTAAGAAAAGAGCGATTTATAACAGTGGCGACGGGGAAAAACTAAAGAAAAATGGCGATTTCTTTAGAACAGTTGCGGTTAATATTACAGCACCAGCAGAAGTTGTTAGCCTTGCAACAACAACTATTGAGCACACTTTTCACTCGACCAGAAAATAAGAAATCTGTTTATGATGCAGTAACAGACATTTCAGAACCATATCCAGTGGAGGGTTCAAATCCCTTTATACCTGAATCAGAACGTAATATTTGTAACGTGTCCGGCTCACAGCAAGAAAATACTGTGCTGAATGCTCATAAAGTTGTGGCAATACGAGAAGATCAAGAGCCAGACCCTGTAGATGAAGCCCGGAGTCCAGAATTAAATGAAACACTACTGGTCCTGTCTAGCTCTGAAAATAAACTTCAGCTCGAACAAAATTGTGGTCCACGTGCTATTAGTCGAGAAAGCTATGGGGACTCATATTCAGAAAATAACTGCAGTGACACGATGAACCCAATTATACCGAATGTTACTCAAAATCATTGTGAGACAGAAATTTATACTGAATCAGCTTATCTGATTTCTAATGACAATGTATCAGATATGGGTTCTCAGAATAATGCATGTAATTTTGATGAAATTTCTCATAAAAATGAGGAAGATATGCCGGCTGGGTCAAATTATGGTCAAAAGTCTAAATTAATTTTGTTAGATGTTGATTTCCGTAATGATCCATTATCCACTGATGAGATTTCTAATGGATTTGAAAGTAATGCTTCAGAAGAATTAAACTCTGACCTCAAATCAAAGGTCGTTCATTATCATCTAGTCATTTCTAGTGGATCCGACATTCAATGCAAGAAACATCGTTTAAATAAAGTCCTATTAATTGTAACTTGGAGATATAAGGATCCGACATTGTTTCGCGGAGGAGGAGAATGTTGGAGAATTAAAAGTTATGCATACTTTTATTTTAAAAAAAATCGAAACGCCGGGAACAGACATGTCAGTATCTGTGCAAGAAAAAAAGTGATAATTCTTTATTGCCTAGACGATGAACTAATCGGAAGCACAAGCCAGTCACTCAGTTGCAGTTGGACCCTAGCACCAGATCCTACGAATCTGCTCAAAGGGGAGGTGTTAGCGGGACATAGACTAGATTAAAGCATGCTCAATGCATGATTGCTTTGGTGCACGCTGATTGGCTAATTCTTATCCAATCAGCACTAGCCGATAGTTGGAGAACACTCTGGAATCTTCTTATGTAAAAACTATAAATATACTGACGTTTTCCCTATTGTGCTTCTGACTTGCTATTTGGAATATAATCTCTTTCCTGTTCAACCGTGTTCTGATTTGGGGTCTTGTCGAGTGAATCGGTGTCCAAGGATACTAAGCAATAGGAATAGCTGGGTCATAACCGTAAGAAAAGAGCGATTTATAACAGTGGCGACGGGGAAAAACTAAAGAAAAATGGCGATTTCTTTAGAACAGTTGCGGTTAATATTACAGCACCAGCAGAAGTTGTTAGCCTTGCAACAACAACTATTGAGCACACTTTTCACTCGACCAGAAAATAAGAAATCTGTTTATGATGCAGTAACAGACATTTCAGAACCATATCCAGTGGAGGGTTCAAATCCCTTTATACCTGAATCAGAACGTAATATTTGTAACGTGTCCGGCTCACAGCAAGAAAATACTGTGCTGAATGCTCATAAAGTTGTGGCAATACGAGAAGATCAAGAGCCAGACTCTGTAGATGAAGCCCGGAGTCCAGAATTAAATGAAACACTACTGGTCCTGTCTAGCTCTGAAAATAAACTTCAGCTCGAACAAAATTGTGGTCCACGTGCTATTAGTCGAGAAAGCTATGGGGACTCATATTCAGAAAATAACTGCAGTGACACGATGAACCCAATTATACCGAATGTTACTCAAAATCATTGTGAGACAGAAATTTATACTGAATCAGCTTATCTGATTTCTAATGACAATGTATCAGATATGGGTTCTCAGAATAATGCATGTAATTTTGATGAAATTTCTCATAAAAATGAGGAAGATATGCCGGCTGGGTCAAATTATGGTCAAAAGTCTAAATTAATTTTGTTAGATGTTGATTTCCGTAATGATCCATTATCCACTGATGAGATTTCTAATGGATTTGAAAGTAATGCTTCAGAAGAATTAAACTCTGACCTCAAATCAAAGGTCGTTCATTATCATCTAGTCATTTCTAGTGGATCCGACATTCAATGCAAGAAACATCGTTTAAATAAAGTCCTATTAATTGTAACTTGGAGATATAAGGATCCGACATTGTTTCGCGGAGGAGGAGAATGTTGGAGAATTAAAAGTTATGCATACTTTTATTTTAAAAAAAATCGAAACGCCGGGAACAGACATGTCAGTATCTGTGCAAGAAAAAAAGTGATAATTCTTTATTGCCTAGACGATGAACTAATCGGAAGCACAAGCCAGTCACTCAGTTGCAGTTGGACCCTAGCACCAGATCCTACGAATCTGCTCAAAGGGGAGGTGTTAGCGGGACATAGACTAGATTAAAGCATGCTCAATGCATGATTGCTTTGGTGCACGCTGATTGGC